GCGATGCAAGCAACGCTTGGGGGAGGGATAGCTCAGTGGTTTGAGCATTGGCCTGCTAAACCCAGGGTTGTGAGTTCAATTCTTGAGGGTTCCACTTAGGGAACTGGTGTAAAAATCTGTCTGGGGATTGGTCCTGCTTTGAGCAGGAGGTTGGACTAGATGACCTCCTGAGGTCCCTTCCAACCCTGATATTCTATTCTATTCTATCCCTGCCCCCAATGTGTCTGTTGATTAAGCTGCAGACTATGCGGGGATACCCTCTGGAAGTGGGTGACTCCTTCTATGCTTCGCTGATTCACCAGTTATCCCGGTTCATACAGAGCGTGGGTCCTCCAGCTCACAAAGGCTCATTGCATAGATGGGGCTTACCTGATTGTTGATTCAGGCCTCATGAGATGGTCAGAGGAGGAGCGAAGGGAAACACCTGCATCTGGCCGCTTTGGAAGGGAGGCCAGGCTTCCTCTGTGCTATGGGCTGGCTGTTGAGAGTGCACAGAGTCTTCTGTTTCTTGGAGGCCCTTTGCCTGGTAGAGCAAGGAGCACGCTGGAAAAGAGGCTGAGTTGCCACGTACAGGGGTGCTTCAGGGATGGAGTACGTCGTGTGTTTTGGGCACTCATTGGCATACCTTACAATGCTGCTGGGTGTGTGTGTTGGGGGTGGGGGGGATGGCAGAGGATTCCAGCCATGGTCCCTGCACAGTCAAAAGCCCAGGAGCCCCTGTCGTGGGGCTCAGAAGGGGAATCTGCTCACTCCTTGCCAGAAGCAGTTCTCCTTTGACGTCTACTGGCCCACAATGAAGAGCGCGCTAGTTCTACCATGGCCCTGCCACCACGGGCAGTGTGTCATGACTGGGGCGTGGGCAGTCTGGCCTAGTGGTCAGGGCTGATGCCAGAGTCCAGGGGCCTAGGTCAGGGATCAGAGTCTAAGACTAGTAGCCTGAGTCTGGGTCTGATGTCGGGTTCCTAGTACTGATGCGAGGGAGTGGGACTGGAGTCAGAGTTCAAGGGCAGAAGCTGAGGGTCTGAGTCAGGATCAGAGGTCTGAGCACAAGCCAAGAGCTAGGTCCAGCGCTACAGCTGGCAGGGGAGTCCACCTCATTGCACAGACATTTCCTGGAACGCCTCGTGGGCTTAAACAGGGTGTGTGGACCAATCAGGGGCCACAAGAGAAGCTGTCAATCTGGCCTTCTGAGGTGGTACTTCCTGTACTGTTTATCCCCACGGGGACTATGTGCTAATGCATGGAAGCTTATCATGGCTGCCGGATGGCGGTGTGGAGACATGGGCCGTCCCCCAGATCTGGGATCTAGTCCCGTCCCCGCGGAACCTCACCCAGAGCTCCTGGGCACATAGGGAGAGGCACGGCCCAGCAGAATAGCCTGGCTGCTAAGCAACATTTGGAGGTGGCTCTGGTTCTACTGGCAACCCCAAACAAGCCAGTGCTGCATGGCTCAGTGGGGAGGTTAGGAAGCAGCACTCAGAAATAACAGCTAAGGGAAGAAGACGACCAGGTCCAGTCAAAGAGAAGTAGGCCCTTGTCCAGACTGGAATTGGGCCAGAACCACTGTGATCAGGGTCAACACCCTGACTCTTGAGGAAAAAAAGCAAACCAACATCTCCTCGGTCACCTTCCAGCCGAGGCTCTCAAAGCACTTGACAAACCTGACAATGTGCTGGTGAGGTAGGGAAGCATTTAGCTTCATTTTACAAAGGGCCAAGCGGACGGAAGCGACTGCCCCCCCCCCATCCCACAATGAAGCCAGGAAGAGAGTCGAGACCTCCCAGTAACCTCATGCCCATCCCCTTGGACGGTAGGGACAGGAGCTGGAATAGCCTCAATTGCTCAGGATCTCAGGTTTAAGTCTTTCCTCAAATCAGGCACTTCCAGCAGTACAACGCCTCCAAATGCAAGGCTGGGTAACTGGCTCCACAGGGAGAGCATCACTTATGGAGTTGCCACTGTTCTGCAGCCCCTAGATTTGCCTTTTGGGGTGGGGAAGAATAATGAAGAACCAGGTTAAGGAGGACGCCCTGCACAGCACTGTCGGAGAGATTTTCAGAGGCAGTCCTTCCCCCTTGTGCTGGCACGAAAGCCCCACAGCCCCTGGACGCCGCCTTGCACCTGTTAACATTTCTGTACCAGGCAGAAAACCCGGGAACAGCAGAGGAAAGAAGATACAAATTCACAGGCC